TCAGTTGAAGGCATTCTTGAGTGCTGACTCAGGGGGATTTTTTATATGGTACCACGTAATGGACTCTATGTTCTGTTTTGTGGTCACTCCCTCTGGCCTTCCTCTGCAATCTTATAAACATAGGTAAAACCATAAAGCTGCTCCTCCTAGACCTAGAACCTTTCTATATCTTTCTATCACACACACACACACACACACACACACACACTAAATATCTCAATTTCCCCAGAGGAAACTAATGCAGTGTTTCTGGCTTGATATGAAGCAGCCCTCATATGCTTGAATTAGCATGTCTGTGCATGTATGTGTGTATGAGTACTATTGTGTATAATATATGTGAGAAAAGTTCCCATGATGTTACATATGCATTTCTATCCACTTTATTTTAATTTTATTTTAGATTCTTTCGCAGCATTAATTCTTATTAACCTGATGAAGAGCTTCACCTGATGTCAGTCTAAGGAGGTGAATAAGGTAGGGAATGATGTATGGAGAAAGGAAGAGAGGAATTGAGTATGGTAAAATCCGATGACATGCAGGCACTCAGATGGACAAATGGCGAGTTGGTGTCACTGATAGTGGGGGGTCTGTGATACTGATATCTTTTAGTCTGAGAGCAAGTGTATATGTATGTGCGTTTGCATCTTTAGCAGTGTCCTGACTGGATTTTTGGGTCTCGTTCAGACCCCAGCATGCACTGGAGCAGCACAAGGTGACAGGAGAAGTAATGAAGATGAATGTGTGTGTGTGTGTTTCTGAGAAGGCTGCTTTTCTGCTCAGATTAAGATCAGGCTTGCTGATAAAAATGCCCGCCAGGCCACTCAGAAACCCAACACTCCTCTCTTCTCTTCTCTTTCCTCACCTCTCTTCATTCCCCCCTTTTCCCATTCCCTTCATCTCTGTCCATTTCTCTATGAGTACAGGAATGAGCTTTTGGTTTCTGTCTTCCTTCATGGTCTTATATATGTTAAAATATCATTTAACATCAAATGTTTTCCTCACCTTTCTTTGTACAGTATAGTGTGTGTGTGTGTGTGTGTGTGTGTGTGTGTGTGTGTGTGTGTGTGTGTGTGTGTGTGTGTGTGTGTGTGTGTGTGTGTGTGTGTGTGTGTGTGTGTGTGTGTGTGTGTGTGTGTGTGTGTGTGTGTGTGTGTGTGTGTGTGTGTGTGTGTGCGTGTGTGCACGTGTGTGTGTGTGTGTGTGTGTGTGTGTGTGTGCACGTGTGTGTGTGTGTGTGTGTGTGTGTGTGTGTGTGTGTGTGTGTGTGTGTGTGTGTGTGTGTGTGTGTGTGTGTGTGTGGCCTGGTAAACCCTACGTTATGGGGACAAAATGTCCCCACAAGGATGGCAATATCCGAAATCCTTGTTCGTGTGGGGACATTTTTTGGTCCCCATGAGGAAATCAGCTTATAAATCATACTAAGTGATGTTGTTTAAAAATGTAAAAATGCAGAATGTTTCCTGTGATGGGTAGGTTTAGGGATAGGGTTAGTGTAAGGGAATAGAATATACAGTCGGTACAGTATAAAAATCATTATGTCTATGGAAAGTCCCCATAAAACATGAAAACACAACAAGTGTGTGTGTGTGTGTGTGTGTGTGTGTGTGTGTGTGTGTGTGTGTGTGTGTGTGTGTGTGTGTGTGTGTGTGTGTGTGTGTGTGTGTGTGTGTGTGTGTGTGTGTGTGTGTGTGTGTGTGTGTGTGTGTGTGTGTGTGTGTGTGTGTGTGTGTGAAAAATTTAGAAAACAGTGCTCGCTATGCTAAGACTACAGTATTGATTAAAATAAATCAAAGTTACAATAAAGTTATGGCATAAGATGAAGAAAAGTGTTTAAGATTTTGCACTATTATTTGACATCATGACAACAATGGCCTCTTGTCTAGCAACAATCAATCTGTCTGATTACAGCACATTTTGCACATTACAGACCACAAACTTTTGATACGTATATACAGAGCAGAGAGTTATGAGGGCACTGGCCACCCAATGTGACATGTCAGATTGTATCATTTTCCACATCTTCATCCATCCAACTAATACATTTAACCCAATTAGAAACCCTTTCGGATATAATTTACTTTAAAATCATCTAAGAGAACTTAAATCCTGAGTTCTCTTCATCTGATGGATTAGGTGAATAGTAGAACGCTGTGAGATCATTCATTTGACCTTTTATTCGGCCTCAAAAAATAACTCTTCTCAGAACTGTGGCTGCCGGTGCATGCCGTGCAAACCCAAAATGGTTTTGAGAGTTGCCTGTAACCAACTTCTCTGAACCTGGTTTAATAAATCATCGTTTGCAACCTGGATCCTAATCAGGGTCATGCACCCTCTCACCCGCCAGCGGAATTAGGGCAGACCCAAACAGACCACTCAGCGGGGCCCGATCGGTGGCATTAGTCAGATACCATGATGCCTATTTATTTGCTGGTGACATGAGGCTGCAGGCAGCACTGATCTCTCTCTATCCCTCTGTTTCTATATCTCTCTATCAGCGCCCTGATCCTCTAGGGTCATATTAAGTGTGTTTAAGGCCACTGTTAAAAGGCTTGAATTATCGTACTGTAACGATTAGTTATAATGGTCCGCATTCAAAGCAATCTGAGAAACCTTATTGTGCACAACTGCTTCCTTATTAGATCAAACTGTACTTAGCTTCCCCAGGAAACACTGAATGTTTGACAGATTACAATACTTTCACTTTTACAGAACATCATGTTTAGGCCTGTTTCAGAACGCACACACAAGCAGTATGTACGTAAACAAAGCAGCAGTGTAACTGAAGCACTCGTATTCAATATGTTTGAGCTGCAGCAGGTTTTTAACGTAGTCGAGATACAGTCTTTATCTATGTGTCAAAGTATACGACACTATGCGTAATCGGATATTTGAAGGATTTAATACACGTTCCGTGTGACCTCTGTCTTTTGCAGTACTGAGAGCAAATGTAGTCTGACTGACCTGTGTGCATGCTGAACGAAGCCAAGCTACAGTCACATTATCTGTTAGTCAACGTGATTTTGCCAAGTAAGACATGTTCCTGGATCAACATATTTTGTCCAAAAGTTTAGTCCTAACCCTATCCCTACCCCTAACTTATCCCTAAAATCACAGGGAAATGCTAGGTGAATAACACTCAGAGGTGGACAGTAACAAAGTACATTTACTTGAGTTTAGGTACACTTTTTGAGTATCCATACTTGAGTATTATTTTTTCTGGAAACTTTTTACTTTAACTTCACTACATTTGAAAGACAAATGTCGTACTTTTTACTCCACTACAATTCTGTCAAGGTCCTTGAGTAGAAAGTAGTAACGTCAGTCAGGGGATGATTTTGGTTGCATGGGTTGCATTTTGGTTGTAAATGAAAGTCAGGTTGACGTCAACATCCACCTTTGGACAGACGTTGGATCTTGGTTGGAAATGAAATTCGGGTTGATGTCAGAGCCCGACTTATGTTGGTTTCTGACGTCAACCCGATTTTCATTTTCAACCACAATACACAATACGTTTGTCCAATGTTGGAGATCGACGTCAATCTGACGTTGGATTCTGACAATTAACCTGATTTTCAACGTTGGGTTTGGTCTTCTAAATGCGAATTTTGTCATTGTTTTGGAGACTTTAAATAGGGCACTATTTGAGGGAACAGCCATTTGGGTGCCCGGAACCATTGTGGATATTATTGAGTACACTTATTCAATCTCACATTCAATCCCACTAGTGGAACTGTGGTCTAGAAATAAATTTAATATTGATATGAGGGTATAGGGGCGACCAATATCTGATTAATGTGAATATTATTACTAGTCTTCTCGGCTTGATGTCATCCTATGTCCCTGTCAACACTGATGTAGAAGCACCTAACCCTGGCTGTAAGCCTAAACTTGACATTAACTGTAAACCTGTCCCTCAAATCTGATTGGTTGATTGGAATGTTCCAGGATCAACAAAGATGTTGACCCAGGATCATGTTGCACTTGTTGAAATCACGTTCGCCTTATCGGTCAGTGCAACTTCGTAAAAAAAAGAGTCCTGGAATGACTTTTTTTTACAAGATGGTTTAAAGGACAAATAATTGTTTAATTTCAACTAAAATCAAACTTTTAAAGTTCAATAAAAGCAAACCTTCTAAAAACATGACTTGTACCTAATAAAGGAGAGAAGATTGTAGGAAACAACATGCTTTGATTAGAAAACAAACCATCCTGAAAAAGCTCTGAAATCACAAGCAGACACAAGCCCCACTGTGATGGAGGCCTGTTCAAAGCTGCCTCTGCCCTGTCATTAAACTAATCAGCTCATTATTGGACAGTTCAGGTTGGTCATTGGTCACGTTTCGTAGAAAGGGAGGCCCTTTTATTAAGCAGCCCTTATGTCTAAGATCTCTCTTAAGATACCCTAATGCAAAGTCTGATTTAAACCAAGGGGTCAATGTCTGGCTGGTTAGCATGGGTCATTAACCCCTGCAGGTAGATATACTGTATACCGTCATCCTTATTATGAAGTATTATTCCAATTTAAAAGAACTGTTTTCTATTTTAATATATTTTAAAATATAATTTATTCCTGTGATGGCAAAGCCGAATTTTCAGCATCATTACTCCAGTCTTTAGTGTCACATGATCCTTCAGAAATCATTCTAACATGCTGATTTGGTGCTCAAGAAACATTTCTTATTATTATTATCACAGTTGAAAACAGCTGTGCTGCTTAATATTTTTTTTCAGGATTCTTTGATGAATAGAAATTGTATTGACCCCAAACATTTGAAGAGTAGTATAAATATATATATATATATATATATATATATATATATATATATATATATATATATATATATATATATATAATATTATATTAAAGTAGATATTTTACCAGTCCTCAATTCTTAGAGGATTTTTATGGAGTGAACTTGACATCATTATCCTGCAGTTCCAGAGTAATTTTTCACATGACGTTTACGGCTAAGGGGAAGAAAAGCAAAATAAAATGACTCTTTATGTCTTACTTAATGTCTTTATATGAACTTTTGCTGAAAAAATAATTACACAGTTAACAAGTACCACAGCACAGGAGAGCTAATGAGAGCTTACACCTCTACCAGTCACAGCTGTTAACACCATTCTTCTTGTTTACACAGGCAATGATGAGTTTTATAATAACATGTCATTTACGCTCAACTGTTAGCTAATGTCCTTAGTGCATGCTCATTTATATTATTAATATTACATCTAACCCTTCCAAACGCCTCTGTAGCTTCCAGAGAAACTCTCTGTTAGGGCTCCATGTGGAGTGAGCAGCCCACATAGCTGTCATCCATTTTGTCCTCTTGAGTCCCTCTGACCAGCCTCATTCGTTATGTTATATTCGGTACCAATAGTCAGAGTAAAATACTGTAGTCCAGTATGGGCACGTGATGTATGTGAAGTACACGGCTGTGTTGTCAATAACATGTGATGTACATATTCAGCTATTTGCCATGATAATATCTGATGGGCTCAGAGTCAGTTTAAAATATTATTTTAAAAGCAGCACACCTTTTGTCACAAAACAACACTCATAGAACAAAACTCTCACGTCAAAAACGAAACAAAATATATATATATATATATATATATATATATATATATATATACCAACACGTTACAGCACAGGTTGTTCTTGAATCCTAAACCTTTACCATCCTCCGATCAATTCAAAACAACAACAACAACAAAAAAAAGAGAGAGAAGAAGAAAGAGAGATACATCTGCCATATCGGGCAAAGTGTGCAAGGCGCTCATGAGAAATGTAGATTTCAGTTGTAGTGCTTTCACAAAATAAGTTCAAATAAAGCCATGCAACAAAGAAGAGGGATTGGGGGAGGGGTACAAATCGCAAGGGATGGACTTCATATCCCAGATTGCCGTGGACAAAATCCTGAGGAACGGGAGGAAGTGGGGGTGTCTCAGGTCTGGTCCAGCCATTCGGCACGTTTAGGAGCTTTGCAGGTGTGAATGTCGACAGCCTCCTCGCAGTCTTTGCACTCGACGGCGCAACACCACTTAAACTTACACTCACACTTGGTGATGCGTTTTACGCGTGTGGTGTCGTAGCCCCGTCCGCAACACATGACCTCGCAGCCGTCGGTCCCCCGGGATGTCTTGTTACAGACCCGACCAGCAGTTCCCAATGAACCTGGAATGCAAAAAAAGGAAATTGTTTTGTTTCAAGACCAAGATTTTACATTGGACATCAAGTGGTGTAACATATCCCAAAAAGTAATAATGCATTAGAATCATTTATAGAATCATAGAATCAAATTAATTACAAATTTAAATATATTAGTGGAAAATTACATTTGTATGATATATATATATATATATATATATATATATATATATATATATATATATATATATATATATATATATATATATATATATGCACCCTGATCTTTCATTATTAAAATTTCACTATTACAATGTTCCTGCTACCATAATGTTTTTAGTTATATTATTATTCACTATCATTTATTTATTCATATAAATTATGTTAATATATTTAGTATGCATATTTGATATATATATATTTCTACATTTATATTTATATTATATTATAACCATATTTCATTCCTTTTGACTACCAAAAAGTACAGTTAAAAGTTTCTATTATGAACAAAAAAGAATTAAATAAAGAGAAAAGATTCACATTTGTAAATGCATATTTTTGTAATCAATAAATTACCATTAAACCCTGACGTACTAAATATGATGCATAAAATGAAACAAAAGTTTTACGTAAAAAACAAGTAAACGTTTTTTTTTCTTTTACATATTTTGTCTAAAGTTTTAACAGACAGTCTAATTCTTTTTTTTTTTAAAGTGATTTTTCTGATTAGCATTTCCTATTTCAGGCTTTACAGAGTTAATGGTCATATAATTCAGCCAAAATACCATTTGACTGGACACACAAAATTACATCTGCAAAATAATAATGATATAAAATAACTAATAAATTTCTATGAACAAATACAGAAAAATACTCTTAAAAATAAATGTTCTTTATTGACATCAATGAGTCCATGAAGAACCTTTAACATCCACCTTTCCATTTAAAGTTTTTTTTTTATTTTTTTTATAGTGGACAAAAGATTCTTTGGATTATTACAATAGGTCTTACCACTAAGACAAAATGGTTATTTTAAGTAGTGTTCATGAAAGGTTCTTTGAGGAGTCCAAAACGGTATCACAGTGAAACCTTCTATGAAACATCCTACCCAACAGTCTTGTAACGCAAAGTCACAAAGAAAGTAAGACCGACCATAAATAATCAGATTGGTGTTTTGGAGTCTGCATGTTGTTGTTTCGCAAGGTTAAACACACAGTGGACAGAGATGGTCTCTTTCTTAAAAAAAAAAAAAAAGGAAATCTGCTTGCCCTGCGGCCATGAGAACCAGAGAGTGATGGTTGTGCTGGCAGCTTTGAAAGAATGGGATTTGAAAAATGAGCCTGTTGTATCCTTGGGGTGCAAATTCCACTGGGGTGGTGATGCTGGTGGTGGTTCGGGGGTAAGCGCATTGACCCTCTAAAATCACTGAGCTGTGAGCTGTCTGTCTGACCCAAACACACACTCAAACCATCACACTGATGCATGAGCTGCAGTAGTATTCTCAAAAAAGCAGAGTAACACAGTGTGACGTGATATGTTTCCAGTAGAAATATGTTGTCTAAACTATTAGTCGACTAGTTAGGTTTAGGGAAGCCTTGGATAATTAGGTTTATCAGTTGTGTCCAATATGCTACATTTCTCATGGGGTGTTCACATAAGATGTGTCCTTGTGTTCAAAAACAGCTAAATGGAACAGAATACAACAAAATGTATGGTTGAGTGGCACACCACCCCCAAAAAATGTATTGCAGCACGGCAAAGCATAACACGTACTAAAATGCTTTCATAGAAGTTGCATTTCTAGATTCATCCCCTGTGAAACACTACAGATAAAATATATATATATAAATGAATTAATAAATACATATATTTTACAAATTAAACAAATATATATAAAAAAAAAATTGAGTCATAAAGTTAGTCTATTTATGACCCATCATCAATTGAACATGGGACTTGTGCCGCTAGTCCAGATGATACATGCAGAAGTGTGTGTCAGAGCATCAAGGATTAACGGAGCAAAAAAAATCCCATCCCACCTCTTCTGACCCTGTCAAAGCCTCTATTGCCCTTTTTACCCTTAAGGTTTATGGTTGGGTTTAGGGCAGGGCAGGGCAGGTGTGAGAGTCAATTTACCTCAGTTACTGAAACCTGTCTTTCTCCACACATCAAGTCATGTAAAAATGAACATGGCTTACTACCATCATACTGGATCTCAGGAGTGAGGATCCTCTGAGGTCTGCAGGCGATTCAGTGGCCAGCCTGTTACGGTACATTTACACAACAGCCATGTACTAAAAACAGAAACGTTTTTCCTTTGCGTTTTCCGTGTACAGACGACAACGTTGTCAAAACAATAGCCGTTCAAACGGACTGACGAAAACGACTAAAAACGCTGCATTATGCTGCCAGGCCAGCAGTTGGCGATATTACTTTGTGAAGAAAAACTATGTGGCTATAGATTTAACCGGAATGCGCATGACCGTTTTCACAAATTTGCATTTTTGTAGTTTACACTGAGATGATAACGGTATAGTTTTCAAAAACTTGCAATTTGAAACCCGTTTTCAAAAGTTTGCGTTTTCAGGCCCCCAAAACGCATAAAAAGTTTTCAGTTCTTAGTTGAAAATGGTGTTGTGTAAACACCCGCTTAGACTTCATTAAACACTTTACTGTCTCTCATAAACAGGATTTTATTTATCACACTTTTTTACCTTTATTCATCAGGCAGTCTAAGCACTTCCTGCATTCTGCACGTCTGGTATATAATCTAACTCTTAATTCTGAGAAGTCTACGCAAAAACCAAGATGCTGAGTGCGTCAGCAGTTAGTCAGAGTTAACTATTTGTGACATTAGTAATGCATGAGTCACAGTATAGGTTAGTGCTAATTGCATTATTACTAAATGAGTCAGTATTTATACAGCTTGAAAGGCATCGCTGTAGTGATATTCTTTAAACATCCGGGTTTGGTTTGTTCTAAATTCTTTAACCAATTTAACTAATAATCCCAGTCGTAAGTGTGGTATCTTCTGTTTTTATTGTAAACTTTGTGGTCAAACTTTATTGTAAGCTTTTTTTATGCATATATTCTTTGTGAAGAAGGCAACATCTGGCCAATGAAAGCATGTATTGATGAAGGAAAGAAATAATAAAAAAACTTAATTTAATTTTTTTAATTATCATTATATATATATATATATATATATATATATATATATATATATATGTGTGTGTGTGTATATTAATCAAATACTAATAATAGAATAATTAATAATAAATTAAATGTAAATAATTAAAATAATACATTTAATTAAAAATGACAGAAACATGTAAAACGAATTGCCCCCTAATTTGTGCTGTGTAATAGGCAATGAGGGAGCTCACTAGCTTTTTTAAACACTCTCTTAGTGTCTTGTAAGCACTGATAATTCCTTCAGGTATTAAATATTTAGTTATTTCATGTTTTCGTTTTCATTCTTACCTGCAGCTTTGTCCATGAGGCAGTAATCAGGTGAGGTTTCGAAGTACACCAAGTCATTTTTTGTGGCTTTCCTGAAGTCTTTATTGGCTACTGTGAATCCTGTCCCATCTTGGTTCATGGTGACCTCGATGGCTCCGTTGTATTTTTTGCGAAGGTAATCTCCTGTTTTACGGAAATCTGACATTGCCAACCAGCAGGTTCTCAGAGTGCATGACCCACTGACTCCATGACATTTACACTCCAGCTTCATAAACCGTTTTACAGCCTGTAAAACAGAGAAACAGAGAAAACATCCCTAGTAGTAATTATATGAACAGATTCCATGTGGCCAAGAATAGCCTCAGAATGTAAACAGAGTTTCACAGGAACGTTATATCATAGAACAATGTTTTTGTGTTATTTATGCCCGTATTTATATTCTGAGTTGTTTAGTTATAATCAAGGTTTGAAATTAACTTTTTCACTCACCAGCCAATTTGGCAACTAAATTGTTAAAGGTGCTCTAAGCGATGTCACGTGTTTTTTAGGCCAAAACAGTTTTTGTCACATACAGCAAACATCTCCTCATCCGCTAGCTGCCTGTCCCTTGAACACACTGTAAAAAAAAAGTTGTCTCTGTAGACACCACAGGCTCCACAAACGGCAACAAAAACAAACTGCGGCGACCCGCTCCACGAAACATAACAAACAGTGTTCCAGCCAATCACTGGCAAGAAGTATTTGAGGGTGGGTCTGGGGTGTTAGTGCGCGTGCACATGAAGGGTGTGTGTGAAGGAGAGAGAAGCATCAAGAGGGAAGTTTGAATAATGGCCGACAAACGACAAAAGGGACGACGTTCCGATGATCCACTTACAAAGAAGAGGGAAAAGGATAAAGTACGCGCGAAGTACCGAATTTACATCGGTAAAGCATTCGAAAGATGGCGAGAACTCCGCCGGCAGAAGGGCTTCCAGTCCGACATTCAGGTTGCTCTGTTTTTGCTGGACAGGTGGGTAACGTTAAATTCTTTTTTTTTGTTCTAAATTGACGCTTATGTTCGCCAAACCCACACAAGGATATAATTAGCTAGAACTATGCTGTCAGCGTTAACTTTGGTGAATACAACATATGTTTGTAGCAGCTAGCGATCAATATGTATTGTAAATGATCAATCAAATTAATAGTAGGGCGACAATTTATGTGAATGATTGTTACGGAAGGGAGGGGGAGGAGACGAGATGCGGAGGAGGGAGGGTCTAGCTAGCCTCCGTTTTGTTTGACAATAGTTCGAACGTCAACAAGAAGTGACGTCACCCAGGATCGCTTAGAGAACCTTTAAGTTACCGGCCATTCAGAACGTCGCCTAGCCAAAACAAAATTCGCACAAATAAACCAGATTATCAATGGCACAGATTAGATTTATTTTTAAATATATATATATATATACTGTATATATTCATATATATATATACATATATTATGATTCTGAATCATTGTATTGCTTTCAGCTTTATGACAGTCAATCACTGTTTGCAGATACCATTCAAATAAAATAAAATAGAAATAAAAACAAAATCCTCTGCGACTTCTCGCATAATTGCCTTGAGTTTACCTGCACGTAGCAATAATAGGGCGCTTTTTGCCCAAAAGTCTTGGACATGCAGCATTTATAAGAACGGGTTAGAAAAAGTGGCCTCTCAACTGTCTTCTAGGGCTCCAGCGAAACACACCAGACAGTAAGCACCGTGCCTCAGGTGAGTGGTGCCGCCGGTATGCGTATGGTAATAGAAAGCAATGTCTGCATCCGAAATCACATACTCTCTTGAGAAGGTACTTTAGTAATTACTTTGCGACCGTTAAAAAAGTATGTTCTATATAGTATGAATATGTGTATTATGAATGTAATCTAGGACATACTACGTTCGCCATGTTATCATGTGACCTACCAGCGTTACTTGCATTGCTTCACTGCCATTCACAAATCCTCTCCTGTGGCATCATGGGATAGTTAAGTGTCCACCACACACTTCAGAATCTCACCAGAAGTAGGTCATCCATCATACTTTTGTGACATACTGTTTTTCTATACTATATTGTAGGGAAGTATGTGATTTCGGATGCAAAATTAAAGACGTGGCGCAGCGCAGTGTTTCTCTCAGGATGCGACCCTCTTTACACTTTGATTTGCTAATGATTGAGCCTCTTTTTATGGAAAGGGATCTGATAGTAATGCCATGCAAAGTGATAGAACATAATTTATGAATCATAACCCGCCAAATTGGCCAGTGTGTTGATATGCGTTACCCGCCACAGTGGATTTTCACCCGCATTTGGTGAGTTGGCGAGTGTTAATTTCAAACCCTGGTTGTAATACTGGCTTCATTCGTTCGACTTTTCCACCATACAGTTATATCACCATGAATGCGTCACATAGTCTCTGTTCTCACCATTCTGCCACAGCGGTTGTTATGAAGGTTCATGAGTGCTCGTGCGTCTTTCACTGTTCGCTCTTTTGCATCTACGAAGGCTTTGGCGAACTTTATTCCATAGTTGATGTTATCACTGCAGCCACCCCAGTCAAACTCTCCTCGTTCGTCGCTGGCCCGGCCACGCTTGTGGGGATCACAGTTGCACGACTTTAGGTCCCCCTGACTGCAGGCACGGGTAATAGCGAAAACCACTCCCGCCGAGGAGATCGCATATACGAACGCCGCCTCACGACTGCCTGTGAAAACAAAAATCATGAAGCCACAACAAACACATTCAGGTCCTTAATCAGACACTCAAGACATTTAAACACACCCTCCGCTCTCATATAATCCCAAACAGCACTTCTGATTTGTCCACCAGAGACCTGCCTAGGGGTGTGACTTGCCCCAGTGTGAGTGTTTGGTTTAAATATTAGTACAGGCCTAATCCCTCCAGGGTGGGCCATTCTCTGCTAGGATAAATTGTTTGAAGGTTAGCAGTCTGATAGTGAACTGCCACAGTTATTTTCTAACCTTAACCTGCTTTTTCTAAGCGTCCTGCATGTTTGGACTCACGCCACTCACACTGATTCCTTTAGCCTGACTGAATGTAAGAAATGTAAATCATCATGGACAGACTCCAGTTTTGCGATGAAACCAAAAGTGTGTTCTTTAAAACGTGTATTATAGTTGTTATAAATATGCATTTTCCATTATAATTATAAAATTACAATATATAACATATTTGGTATGTTATATATTTTTTTGTTACATTTGCACTACAGTTCAAAAGTTTGGGGTCAGTAAGATGTTTTGTAAAGACATTTATGACTTTATTAAGCAAGGATGCGTTAAATTGATCAAAACTGATAGTAAAGATATTTACAACGTCACAAAAGAATTTCATTTCAAATAAATGCTTTTGAACTTTTTATTTATACAAAAATCCTGGAAAAAAGTTTCATGGTTTCCACAAAAACAGTTCCCCTTCAGTCGCTCACGTTCGACGTGACGTCGTCGTGACGACGTTAGGGGATCACTTCAGGGAGCCCTATCAACTTCGAGTATCTAAAGAACAAGCCAATGAACGTTGGCGTGCGTGAACGCGTCACGCGCCCCCGCCCCGCAGCGCGGGTATGAAACAGGAAGCGGGCGCGCGCACACACTGTCTTTCACTTCGGAGCCGAGTTTCTGTGAGACTTCTGTCTAAAATAATTCAGCGCTTTGAAGACTTCAAAGGAGATCTCTCTGCCTGCAGTGTTGGTGTGACGGCGCGATCAACGGTGGCCGTGAGCAGTGCAGCTCTCAACTGCTGTTTTCACAGCACTATTGTTTGTGTGTGTGTGTTCACACAGTGGCTACCCCTGGGCGCCTCAGCACTGTGAGAGCATTTTCCAACCTTTTTTATTTTACTAAAAGAGCAACACAAGCGTCTTTTTCAAGATGGCATTCCGGTTGTGCGTTTCTGGATGCCGTCGTTCCCTGGCACCAGCAGATGGCCACAATAGCTGCATCTCGTGTTTGGGCATTCAACACACTGAGGCAGCTTTTGTGGATAGTTCATGTTCCCATTGCGGGAATATGACTATCGCAGCACTTAGATCGAGACTCGCTTACCTCAAGGGAGGTGCAGTCCCCTCGCCTATGCCCCGATCTAGTGCTTATTCTGCCCCGCAGAATAGGCCTACTTCGGCGCATGGCCAGGGTGATCTGAGGATCACCGTGAGGGCTTCCCCGCCGAGGCAATCTCCGCGGGCCCCTCACGCCTCTCATGTGCTGTTGCCATCGGCGCCCCTTTGTGAACGGCTCGGTCCTTCTCCGCAACGGCCAGTCGTTTTCTTTTGGGCCGCCAGCTGACGATCAGATGTCGATCGCAACATCGGAGGGGGAGCGGTCCTCTGGAGATGACGACTCGGCTGCGTTGCCCCCTTCGGGGTGTGTAGCGTTGTCCGAGCCTGATCCAGAATGGGCGGCTATGCTTTCCCGGGCCGCCGAGAAGGTCGGGCTTGCGTGGAATCCTCCACCACGTCCCGAACCTTCTCGGTTGGACGATTGGTTTCTCGGGGCGGGCCGTGCTGGTTCTCAGTGCGCCTTTCTTTCCGGAGGTGCATGAGGAGCTTTCTAGGACGTGGAAGTCACCGTATAGTGCCCGAAGCCGTTCTAGTGGCTCCTCTCCCCTCGCCACCCTCGATGGCGGGGCAGCTAAGGGGTATGTGGAGATCCCCCCAGTGGAGCGGGCTGTCGCGATGCAGTTGTGTCCGGCGTCCTCCTGGCGGGGTAATCCTCGCCTCCCGTCCAAGGCCTGTAAGTTCTCGTCCGGTCTAACGGCGAGGGCTTACAAGGCCTGTGGACAGGCTGCTTCCGCCCTCCATGCCATGGCGCTCTTGCAGGTCCACCAGGCCCAGGCGCTCATGGACATGAACAAGGGTGGTTCTGACCCAGAGCTCCTCCGGGAGCTCCGTGTGGCAACTGACCTCGCCCTCCGGGCAACGAAGGAAACCGCACTTTCAGTCGGTCAGGCGATGTCCACCTTGGTGGTCCAGGAGCGCCACCTTTGGCTCAACCTGGCGGACATGAGGGACACCGATAAATATCGGTTCCTGGATGCCCCTCTCTCCCAGGTTGGGTTGTTCGGCGACGCGGTCGAGAGCTTTGCCCAACAGTTCTCGGCCGCACAGAAGCAGACGGAGGCCATTCGACACATCCTGCCCCGGCGGACCGCTGCTGCTCCCACCCGTCCGCTGGCCGCAGCCCCTCCGTCTACTCGTCGCCGAGGTCGGCCTCCTACAGCGTCCTCCGCTCCCGCTAAGCCCCAGCAGCAGCCACCATCCAGGCCTCAGCGTGGAGCAAGCCGCAGGAAGCCGACCCCGCCCGTCCAGGCCGCTGCTAATCCAGGAGGCAAGCGTCGGTGCAAACGACCCTGAGACGGGCGGCCCAGAGGTGGATCAAGTTGCTCTTCAGGAGATGGCGAACGTGACACTCCTTCCCCCGGTGGAGGGCCGGGCGGAGAATCCTTTGTTTCCTTTTCTTTTTGTTCCGCCACTGACCCACGGGTCAATTTCTGAAACCTCTGGGCCCCAAGAGGGCGCGCTTGGCAGTCGACGACGCCATGCCTTGTCACTCCCGAACCGCTCTTTCATCGCCAGCGGGCAGCAGTGGCTGTGTCCTGGACGCAGTATCGCCTCCGCACACTCACTCTGCCCTCCGACGGAAGCAGGTACGTTTTGCACCACACGTTCAGACCCCACTTCGGGCCGCTATGCCGCCTGAGTCAGGTCCCTGCATTCCGCCACGCTGCCCCACTCCGGGTACGTCTGTGGTGCCGTTGATCCCGCTTGCTCGGTCTCTGGGAGCTTGGTTGACGCTTCCCAGCCCGTCCCACTGGCTCATCCGTACCATCAGACTCGGTTATGCGATTCAGTTCGCCCGGCGCCCCCCTGTTTTCAGGGGCATCCTGTTCACCCGTGTTCTGGCGGACAGTGCCCCTGTTCTCAGGGCGGAGATTGCAGTCCTACTGGCGAAGGACGCAATCGAGCCAGTCCCTCCAGCCGATATGAAGACCGGCTTCTACAGCCCGTACTTCATTGTACCCAAGAAAGGAGGTGGGTTACGGCCAATCTTGGACCTGCGCGTCCTGAATCGGTCCCTTCACAGGCTACCGTTCAAGATGCTTACGCAGAAACGCATTTTTAAATGCATCCGTCCCCAAGATTGGTTTGCAGCGATCGACCTGAAGGACGCGTACTTTCATGTCTCGATTCTCCCTCGACACAGACCGTTTCTTCGCTTTGCGTTCGAGGGACGGGCATATCAGTACAAAGTCTTACCCTTCGGGCTGGCCCTGTCGCCGAGTATCTTCACGAAAGTCGCGGAGGCGGCCATTGCTCCCATGTGCGAGCGTGGTGTTCGCATTCTCAACTATCTCGACGACTGGCTTATTATCGCCCTGTCGAGAGAGCAGTTGTGCGAACACAGGGATTTGGTGCTCAGTCACCTCAGCCACCTAGGGCTTCGGGTCAACTGGGAGAAGAGCAAACTCACCCCCGGGCAGATGATCTCTTTTCGCGGTATGGAGTTGGACTCGATCAACATGACAGCGCGTCTCACCGAGGCCCGCGTCCAGTCAGTGTTGAACTGCGTGAGTACGCTCAGACGCAGAACAGCGGCACCACTGAAACTATTTCAGAGGCTCCCGGGGCATATGGCATCTGCAGCCGCGGTTACGCCGCTCGGATTGCTGCATATGAGACCGCTCCAACACTGGCTCCACGATCGAGTCCCGAGATGGGCGTGGCAGAGCGGCTCATGCCGGGTTCCAGTGACCCCGCACTGTTGCCAAACTCTCAGCTTGTGGTCGGACCCTTCGTTCCTGCGGGCAGGTGTTCCCCTAGAACAAGTGTCCAGGCACTCTGTGGTCTCCACGGATGCCTCTATCACTGGCTGGGGGGCCACGCACAACGGGCATGCAGCTTCAGGTCAGTGGACAGGGCCTCAACTGCATTGGCACATCAACTGCCTCGAGTTGTTAGCAGTACATCTTGCGTTGGGCCGCTTCAAAACGTCGCTACAAGGCAAGCATGTACTGGTCCGTACGGACAACACTGCGACCGTTGCGTACATCAACCGCCAGGGTGGTCTACGCTCCCGCCGCATGTCACAACTCGCCCGCCATCTCCTCCTTTGGAGTCAGAAGCATCTGAGGTCGCTTCGTGCCGTTTACATTCCGGGCCTGCTCAACCGTGCAGCCGACGAGCTCTCACGGCAGCAGGTGCTACCGGGAGAATGGCAACTCCATCCCCAGGTGGTCCAGCTGATTTTCAGGTGCTTCGGGACCGCACAGATAGATCTGTTCGCCGCCCCGGACACGTCTCACTCCCAGTTGTTCTATTCCCTGACCGAGGGGACCCTCGGCACGGATGCTCTGGCACACAGCTGGCCCCGGGGTCTTCGCAAATATGCGTTTCCCCCAGTGAGCCTTCTGGCACAGACCTTGTGCAAAGTCAGGGAGGACGAGGAGCAGGTCTTGTTAGTTGCGCCGTATTGGCCCAACCGGACCTGGTTCCCGGAACTAGTGCTCCTCGCGACAGCCCCTCCCTGGCCCACCCATCTGAGAGAGGACCTGCTCTCTCAGAGACGGGGCACCCTGTGGCACCCGCATCCAGACCTCTGGAAGCTCCATGTCTGGTCCCTGGACAGGACGCGGAGGTTCTAGGTGACCTACCCCCAGCGGTAGTTGACACCATCACTTCCGCTAGAG